GGAGGTTGCGGTGAGCCGAGATCGCGCCATTGCACTCCAGCCTGGGTTCAGGCAATTCTCCTGCCTCAGCCTCCTGAGTAGCTGGGATTACAGGCACGCGCCACCATGCCCAGCTAATTTTTTGTATTTTTAGTAGAGACGGGGTTTCACCGTGTTGACCAGGATGGTCTCGATCTCTTGACCTCGTGATCCACCCGCCTCGGCCTCCCAAAGTGCTGGGATTACAGGCTTGAGCCACCGCGCCCGGCAAACTTTTTTTATCTTTTCGTTTTTTTTTTTTTTTTTTTTGAGATAACATTCAAGGAAAGCTAGCAGGCTTTTATCCAATTTGGTTTATATAGAATGGGCAAATGAAATTTCCTGTCATATTCTATCTAATGCTTCAGCCAAAGCACTTTTATTTTGAAATACTTTTTTTATTTTCATGCCTCTGTTTAGAAAAAATATCTGCATATATATTATGGAAATTGCATCCATAAACAGATAAAATATATAGATGTGAAGATAATGTTCTTCTATTTTGCTTATTCTCTAACTATATTTTTACCAGGAAAGTACAACACATTTAAGAATAGTTTTCTTTGGATAACTATTGGTATTATTCTGTTAAACACTAGGTCTTTTTGAAAGTGTCTCTGCTATTTTAATACATATTGATCTTTTTAAATTTTTAAAATTTCAGTAGTTTTTGGACAACAGGTGGTGTTTGGTTACATGGATGAGTTTTTTATTGGTGATTTCTGAGATTTCGGTGTACCCATCACCCAAGCAGTGGATACTGTACCCAATGTGTAGTCTTATCCCACGCCCCCCTCACACTCTTGCCTCCAAGTCCCCGAAGTCCATTGTATCATTCTCATGCTAATGAACTTATCTGTTTCAAAAAATTTAGTTTGCTTTTTTCTTTTTTTATCATTTACCTTTTTCTTCAAAATTAATGACTGCAAATCCTGTGCTTCTTCTGTTCTTTAAACCAATTTGTTTTTCTTGGTATGTTTGTTACTAACACCAATTAGCACATATATCCCCAAATTTTTATTTTTCCTAGCATTCCCACACATTTACAATTAGTGTCTATTTTCAGTAACTTCATTACTCTTCCAAATCATAGGATCTTTTTTTTTTTACTGCTTTTCCATTTGAAGCCCAATTTTATTACTTAGTACCTCTCCATCAATTTTATTTCGTTTTATTTTAGAAACAGTGTTTCACTCTTTCACCCAGGCTGGCAGTGGGGCAATTATAGCTTACTGTAATCGCGAATTCCTGGACTCAGGCGATTCTCCCACCTGTCTCCTAAGTAGCTAGGACCACAGGTGCACCACCACACTCAGCTAATGTTTCCGCTTTTTGAAGAGATGGTGTCTCGTTCGGTTGTCCAGGCTGGTTTCTAACTCCTGGCCTCAAGCTATTCTCCTGCCTCAGTCTCCCAAAGTACTGGGATTAGAGGTATGAGCCACTGTATCCAGCCTGATTATTTGAATTGTTGCTACTTGTCACCTGAGCGAGAACAGCGTGCTCATATGGTCCAAGTAACCTCTTACCAAAGCACATACTCAGAGACCTTGCAGTTACCTCAGTGCGCACTCACGTGTGTGTGTGTGTGTGTGTGTGTGTGTGTGTGTAAATTTTGTTTACTAACATTTTGATGCTCCTACTGTATAAGGTACATTGCATATAGCACTCCAGAGGGGACATAAGAGAAATAGCCTCCACCTTTAATATATTTATAAATTCACTAGAAAAATGTTTGGAAGAAGTAAAATTAATTATTCTTTAAAACATTAATCGGCCCCAAACAGCATAGTTTATTTATGCAATGCTCCAGCAAATTTTTATCAAAGTCTACTATGTACCCTTAGGCCAGGTCTAGGAGTGCAGCAAAATCATGGTATCAGGCATCACGGCCTTTGAAGTGTGTCTGGACAGCTAATAGTGAACAGAAACCTGAAGTGTGGTGAGCATTACAAATGACAAACAGAATGCTTTTGGTGCAGGCAACACAAAAACCCAACCTAATCAAGGGGATCTGAAAAGGCTTGCGTGAGTTAATGATGTTTACACTAAAAAGGTTAATAACATTGAGTAGATAAAAAGAAAGAAGTGGAGAAGAAGGGCTGCATTGAGTATTGGCTAAAGAATTCTTAAATTGGGGTTTAAAAAAAAGGCCTTTGGAAAGAAAGAAACCTTAAGGGGGGCATGCAATTTGATCTAAAAATATATTTTTAAAGGATTACCTATGTTATCTATGAAAAATTCTGTGTGATGGGAGAGACGTGGATTGGTGAAAATGACAGAGGAACAGATTCCAAGTGGAAGAAACACCTTAATAAAGAAGAAAGGGAAAATTCTGTGTGTATTGGCTTGATCATGGAAGAGAAGCTAAGCAGGAAAGGAGGTTGCATAGAGATGAGGAAAGTCAGTAGAACCTTTAATATCTAAGGCACTATGTTCTAGAAGGTAAATACAAAATAAATGAGAATAAGAGGAATTCGTGGCTAGAAGGGGAATCCCTGGGATATTGTGAGTATTGTTGCCTGGGTTTGGGTAACGTGGCAGATGCTTGGTGCCCTGCCCAAACCCCCTTGGCATCCCATTCCCATTTCCATACACACCACCTGCTAACCTACCACAAGCATCTGTGACTC